GCACTTGCCGTGTATGCCCTAAAACATACGGGTCCGCCGCCACGCGGCCAGATATCAACGTGTGACCGCCTAAGTTTATACTAAAGTTGCTTCTGTGCTCTGCCCTGCCCTCCCCCCTTCCCGCCCTCGGGCACAACCATACATAGGGTTCCTTTAAGGGTTGCATCTACTCAGGCCTTTCATGGCATTGGTAATTGAGGCTCTAGGAATATATTACATTATTATGTGGTTGAGGTCTCAGGGCTTGGGGATTTAGGGTTGCAGACGCAACTTGAAAACTTCGTTCGATCAGAGACAGGTTCGGGCTTTATCTTCACACATGTCAACATAATATGCGCACATGTGACACTTCTTTTTTCGGGCAGTGGCCGGGCAGATGCTGGTTGCTGTTGTCTTTTGGGTAATACTCGCCGTGAGTTCACATAGCCCAGGCCATCATGTCAGAAGAGCCAAACCCTTCCCCCACAGAATTCTGGAATCCTACGGCGTCCTCGGACTTAAAGGTCTGTCTGCGTGGGTTAGGGTTTTGGGTTCGGGGCCATGCAAACCCAAGCGATTAGGACCAGCTGGCAAGTCCGGAACTGCTGGAACCCATATCTAAGGCCAGGAAAAAGCTGCCGGAACTCCTGTCCTCCTCCAACACAACCCTACAGACCCTACAAATAAGCGACCCGAAAACAGAACACCCCTTCAGCCGCCACCCAAATCCCGTACCCTCCAAGACTCCAAAGGCCTGCAAGAGAGTTGTGGATTAGGTTTTGGGTTAGACTCCCAAATCCGGTACAAACACTTTCGAGGTTCTGCGATGCCTCGGAAGTCGGTATAGCAGGATGAACCTGCTAGAAGGCTCTGTGGACCAACAAGACCGTCCAATCCCGCTGAATCCCTCAGCCGTGAACCCTGAATTCTGGGCCCCCTCCGACACTGATCTACATCCTCAAGACCAAGAACCTAGACCCTCTAAACCCTGATTCCTGAACCTCAATCAAGCCCTAGAGCCTACACGCTAAAGCCTTAAACCCAACAGTCCCTGAGGCCCGGGAAGGGATGCTCCCGAGCATCCCGGCGGACCACCGCCGAGGGCTCCCGGGCGCTTGCACCTGGCTATGAGGGCTTAGCGTTTGCGGTTCATTGCAGTTTAGGGCTTAGAGTTTACGGTTTAGGGAGTTTAGTAGGTGGTCCAGCGCTGTTGGTTCAGGGCTCACGGGATTTAGGGCTCGGAGTGCAAGACCGAGGGCGTGGGGCTCAGGTTTTTCGATGTGGGGGCTCAGGGCCTGGGTTCGCATTTGGGCTTTACGATCCGCTAATCTCCAACATGCCGGAAAGCAGCCTCGCAGAAAGCGAGGTTTGTGTTGTTTCTGTCGCTACTGTGTTTACATCTGCTGTGGGGTTCTCTCTGGGTGGCCTATGACAAGAGGGTTAGATTGACTTGAGAGAACCTTGCTACCATTTTTAATGGCAATGCAGACAGGGACCCAGGGCACTGAGCAAATCTATTGAGAAAGCCCCCTCATACGCCACGGACTAAACGATCCTTGAACAGGCATGGGGCCCTGCATCCGGTACCACAACACCCAAGCTCTGCTAGGCTTCAGCCTCCAGACCCTGCACATCCCTCCAGCATTATCTACTGCAGGTTCTACCGTCGCTGTTAGGGTTTATTCATTTTAATGTACAGAATGAACCCGAAAGCCCTATCTGTCCCTGCGCGCCTTCGCGTGAGGCAGTGCCGGCTAGGAGCGAACACAGTCTGACTACTTCGTCCTGCTACGGTTGACATAGGAGGGTTTGGTTAGGAGGAGAAGAAGAGGAGAATGCGGCGGAGGAGTGCTCAGGGAAAGGGGTCATGTGGGGTTTCGTTTAGAACTCATCTCAGGGTTCAGAGTCGGAGATTATGCAAGGATACCGGGATTGGGACAGTTAAGCTTCCGCTGAGCTTCGGCCTTTCATTAAAGCTGCGTTCCGAGCAATGCCTAGGTGACTAGCAGATCTACGCTGTCCTTGTCAGTGCCACAGCATTTAACATGACCTCAAATCGGTCCAAACCCCCTAATCATAGAAGTCTACCGAACTCCCTGCTGGCGGGTAAGACTCTACACGCCTGCAAATAGCGCAAAGGTTGGTCGCTGGATTGCGACCGGCCCTGACCGCCTTCTCCCACCCCCCTCCCCTCACAGGTGCATTCAGCTCCTGTGATGGCAGGCGCAGCTGGTCGCCTATCATGTCAGGCCGTCAGCCAGTCAACCCTGCATCAGCACTGAAGGCACTGAATCGAAACACCTAGCCATTGGAGCTTCGACCTGGTCAACCGACTTAGTTTGGGACAACGCCAGCACCCAGAGATGTGCGCTTCTATAGGCCACCGCAAGTCAGAACCTCTGATGTAGCACGAACAGACGGCAGATTTAAAGAATTCGGCCTGGAGAACAACTCAGCTCGCAAGCACCGCCTGGGCAATGAAAGAAACTGAGTGACAAGCCTGAGCCGCAAACGCTCTGATGCTAAAAACCTAAGCCTGCAAGCACTAAACCCAACAATAATAAAAGGCTGGAAGGCAGGACCAGTGCACATGTGGCGTACCCAGGCAAGTCGCAACCCAAAAAACATCCTGTAGCCTGCGATCATTAATTCGTAAAGTATAAGCTCAAGCTCCCCAAACCCGAATAACTTAAGTAATCTTGAACAGCATAACCTTGCAACCTACAAGATCTGGACCGAATCAAGCCAGCCTTCTCGGCCCAAGAGACCATGGAGAAGGGGACGGAACTCCTGTTTAGAAAGTTTAGCATTGAAGGTGTAGGTCTCCTACGGTCTGCCTCCGACTAGAACCTACTGGCTTGTAGGGTCCCTATAAGTTCGGTATCAGATCTAACAGGACCCTTCATAAAGTAGCTTATGTAAGGGCGATGTACAGGCGAGGCCCGAAGACTAGACCCCAAAACCCTACCACAACGCTGCGAAAACCCACAGATCCTCAGCCACAACACGTGCTAGGGCCCTAGGGTTCCTGACCACTACAGCCCCATAGACCCGTTAACCCTACAAAGCCCTAAGGCTCTGAATCCCATACGACCCCTATAAACCCGTAAGAACCGACCCCCAAACCTCAAAACCCTGGGCCCTTGACCCCGGCCACCTGGGCCTTAAGCTCCCTAAGCCCTTCGGTTCTTGTTAAGATGCCTAACTGGCTGTCTCTGTCGGCTCTTG